CTTTACTTGTTCGTTAGTACGATTGATTTCTTGTATTTATTTTAATCAACAGCAACAGCACCAACTGGAAAAATTAACTGGATTACCATTGACCCTTGTCACGCTGAACCATGCACCTTCCAGTCAGGAGGATTAGTTACTGTTGAAGGCGAATTAGTTAGTGGTTAGTAATATTCAAACAAATAGAATGAAGAATATCAATTCTCGAATGAGAATCTTTGCTTAATAAATGTTTCCTTCGTAAACTTAGCAACTGGTTCAGATGATCCAAAATTGCTTGTTCAAACTGAACTTCTTGGTGTTATGGTACCTTACCCTGGTCTGAGCTCTGATGCTTGCAAATACCTGACTTGTCCTCTTAAAGCCAATGTTGTTACTCCATTCAAGATTAGCTTGGATACTACTAATTGGCTTCCAGCTGTGAGTTTTTAATCTTTAATTGGACAATGCATTTGCTTGATAATATTTCTAATTGATTTTTCTTCCTTCTTTATTCAGGGGGACACTTTTATAGAATTCCAGCTTAAAGGTTCTGATGGATCCCAATACAACTGCGCTTGGACTCATATTGAAATAAGAAAATGAAGAATTATTTTGTTATATAAATTATTCTTTCAATATGCTATTTAATAAATATATATTTTTCGATTATTGATTGCAAATACTGTTTGTGGAAGCTAATTTAACATAAATTCATTATGAACATCAAAGTCGCCATCTATCTGATGAAAAACAAATGTATCGAACAGACTTCCAGGCCATTAAAAAATTATTAGTCCAGTTAACTATCAAATTATGCACAACGAAAAACCCTGAAGTTAGTCATCTAACAACTGCCTGAGTGGTATGATTCGTAAAATTCTATGATAAATCGATAGAAATAAGGTGAAAAACATGTCTGGTGAAATTTCAGAACTTTCAAACTTTCGTTTAAATTTTTATTCTTGAAATGCTTGAAATCAAATTACCATTATGGAGCTGAGAATAACATTCATTTTGTTTTCTTTTTTTTTTGCAATGTCTTTGTTTTGCCATTTTCAGCTCATTACAATGGATCTGATTAGACTTAAAATTGGAATAAAAATTGAAGCGAAAATTTGCAAGTCTAAAATTTCCCCAGACATGCTTTTTCCCTTATTTCTATCGATTTATCACAGAATTTTCCGAATCGAATCGTACCACTTAGGCACCTTCCCTTGTCAGTGTGCTTCGGAAAGATATTGTAATTAGCATAACTTCAGTTTTTTATCCTTTTCTTTGTCATCATGTTCGAATGAGCCAGATGTTAAATAGTTTTTATGCGATTATCTTCGCATATTACTAGGTAACTAATCTAACAACAACTATTCATAACTGGCGATTCTTTGTTTTCGACGTTTTACCTTCAGTATAAACTGATTCATCAGGCTTCCACTCAGTTTGCTTCAAAACAAAAGATTCTTCTTTAAAAAAAGTAATTTAAATTGTAGAAAAGTACATTTGTATAAGAATAGAATTAATGAATTCTTGAAAGAATCTTTCTTGAGACGATGATTTTTAAAAAGAATTTCGATCTGAATTGAATTATCGTACTCAAGGAATTCGCGATCAGTCATGAAGCCTACAGCTCTACAGCTCTTAATGAAATTAGAGTTAACTGTTGAACGAAATTTTGATGAGAGTGCTCTAAAACGCGTTAAATCCACTAGTGTTTTAACTGGTTGGTGTTGGTTCTGTATTCAACGAAAAAAAAACAATTTTGAAATTTTGATTACGCAAATTTATTGAATTAATTATTATAATTGATGTATTTATCACACAGTAAGATTATTTATCTTCTGGATCGAATGTTTCCCAATCAATTGTCGAAAGATCGCTGGGAGCACCATTTTTGTCGGAATGGAATTTGATATTTGGTTTGTTGATGGATGAACCTGAAGTTGAGCTGAAACTAAAGTCAAGTGGCTTTGCATCGAAATCAAACTTGATGCTATTGGTTTGTAATACTAAAGGTAATTTTAAGCCACATCGGTATCCATCAAGTGACTTGAAAGTGAATAAATTGTCGATTGATTCCTTCTTATCGCCTTGTTGTACGAACCCAGTCAAAGTACTGAAACTGTCTTTACATGAAACAGTCAATGAGACTCCATCAGCATTAACAAACTTCACTGATCTATCAGTTGACTTTGTATCTGGAACCAAACCATAAATGAATGTTTCCATTTCTTTGTTAAATTCCTTTTTCACCATCATGACTCTATTCCTCTTATCATTATCAGTGAAAGACATTCTATTATGTGCATAACATTCAAGGTGAGACAGTTGATGAATGAGTAATTCTTTGAGGTTTGGCGCAACAACAGACTTGATGCCATTAAAGGCAAGAGTAATCGGAACATTATCATCAATAGTGACCAAATCAATGCTGATTGACTTGTTGGTAACTGGAGCAACTTGGTTACTATTTACAGTCACATCTAGCTGCCAGCTACAGGAATAGTCGTCATAAGCCCAAGGGTCATCGGCAGCTGA